CAGGAGATGATGTACAACCCTGCTCTTTGTACAGACTTGTAAGGGCTTTGAACTACTTATATTTCCTAATTTAGAAACTGCCTTACCAAATTTGTTTGCAACAGTGTAGAATGAAAGAACTCCAAACATAGTCGCTTTTCTCGAAAAATGCGGAAGAATCCTGATTGTTTTCTTTATGAATTTGATTATCTCTGTTTTGGGATTATTATTAGTAATCGTTCCCAAAAAGTTACTGCAAGCCATTTCCTGTATTTGTTTTCCTTCCATTAGGAGGAAATTTCCTCATTAGTTAAAGGTTCAATAATTTCTGCTGTGTCTCTTCCAGTCAGTTGACGAAGCCTTATCTTTTAAAATCAAATCAGAGACCTATTCTATATACACTTTCAATTATTTATTGTGTTTATGTGGCAGAAATACCCAGTCTAGTATGTCATGCCTGTGAATTAATATTCCTGAGGTGTATTCCTAGAATGTAAAATAACCAAATGCAGTTTAGTTTTGGATCCACATGGTCCACATGTGCTTCTAATATTCTCTTTCCTAACCATTCTAATTTTTCTCAGTCTCAGCTGATAGTATTTGTCAACTATTTAGGTCTTTGTCTCCTTTTAAGTTCATTTTCAGGTGTTTTAAATCATGCCCTTCTACTGCAATAATTGTCTGTTTTTGAGAGATTTCTCCTAGTATTTTTTGAAGATGATTAAGAGTCTCTTAACGATCTCTTCTGATCTGTACATTCTGCCATCTAATTTTCTGTGAATCTATTGCATAACCTAAACTATTAATGAAATTTCCTCTACATAGTTCTTTCTGGGGCAATTTATAATCCCCAGTTGGTCGAAGTTTACTGCTTCAAACATCTTTTCCAAAGAAACTTTGTTTGAATCAGGCAATAATATGTCGTCCATATAATGAAGTATTAATGATTATGGAAATTGTTTATGAATGATTGCCAAAGGATTTTGCACAAAAATGGCAAAAATTCGGGTTATTTAACATTCCTTGTGGCAACCGTACTGCTTAATAAGTGTTATAGGTAAGTATGATAAGTGAACTTTTCTCTGTGTTTTCCTTGAAATGCTACAATGAAGAAGCAATACTTTAAATCCAAAACTACAATTGGTCAATTCATATCTCATGTTGACAAGATCGCATAGGCTGATTCACCTAGTGTATAACTTTCAGATAAGTAACCGTTCTCAAATTCCAAGACTTCTTTTGGTAACAAATACAGGTAAATTCCATGGACTATTTGATTCTTCTGTATGTCCATCAATTAGATGTTCCTGAACTAACTTTTCCAAAGCTTCTAACTTCTCAGAGGCCATAGGTCATTGTCCTACCAAGACAGGTTTATATGTTAGCCATTTTAAGGGTAGAACTTTTGGTTCCTCAGAAGATTTCGCACTAGCATCCTGTTTCTCTACAGCCTGTATTTTTGCAATCTGTTTTTTATGCATTGCAATATATTTTATACCACTAAGATCTTGTCTGTGATTCATATCGGATACAGGAGGAATGTTAAACTGTGTATCTAATTGCTGTAATAGAGCATGAGCATCTTACTATCATGGTAATACATGGAGTAAATTGTACTTTTTTGATGATGAGTTCCACATCACAAGAGCAGTTTTGACACCCAACTTGGGAAGAATGACTTTCAGTTATTTTTTCATGTTTATATTTAATGAGGAGCACATTGCACTCAGACATCTTATAGGATGCAAAAGGATACAATCCCAACTTGCACAAAACACATCACTCAGACCCATGCCTCCTGAGAACACTCTCATGAGAACACAGAATTGTAAGGAGTTGCACAGAGACCTTTGAGACAGAGCAGTTGTACTCAGTTTTTTCAAATGTAAAGCTAATAAACCTTAATTCCTACACTCATAATAATTGAGAACCATACAAATGAAGATGAATAAACATTTCATTTATGTTTCACTGAGATACCATATAAGGAAGTCTCTAGGAGTGCTGACATTTTTTGAATGGATACCTGTAAATAAAAATATTTAATGAAAAGGAAACTGAATGGAGAAACTTGAACTAGTTTAGTGCTAATGTACACAGTTCTCACACAGAATCCATGAAGGAAATTCTTGGTTGCTATGCAATTATCATGTTATTATAGAAAATACCTTTTTTTCAGAGAAAAGATGCATGCCCTCACATTTACAAGTGCCATGGCCAAATATTCTTGAAAATATCTATGACAGGACAGGCATCTTAAATGCTATTAATGTGCAAGGATACAGCACCACGCTAAGGAATAAACCCTGTGATCATACACACCAAAGAACTAGTCCCTTTCATAAATTATCTTAATACTGACATAAAAACATAAGAACATTTGTTATTCTTTCTCTTAATACATTCTCAATATAATCTTATAGTGATGTATACAAGAATACACAGCAAACACATCTTTGTTATAGGATCCATGTCCTGTCTGTGTTTGAGGACCACTTCCTATATCAGTTCAGGCTAGAAATATCTGTCAGGACACAATTCCACCCTGCCTCTGCTGGTTTTGTCAGCCCAATCTTTGCCAATTTCCTCATTGCTCCTCTCTCTCTGTCACTGGTTTCCTTGCATTCAGTTCAGTGTTTGAATGTGGATGTTTGCCTCTGCTTCCATCAGTCACTGGATGAAGGTAATTGCATATAAGGTAGAGGTCAAGTTCATCATCAGGAATGTGCATTTAAGGTGGTCTCTCTACTATTGTTTAGTTTGCCAGTTGGTGTCATTCTTTTAGATTGCTAGAGGTTTCACTGGTGCCAGAAACATCTTCAAACCTATGACTCCTCTATTATTGTATTTCTCATCCTGTACTCACTCTATTCTACCACCCACTCAACTTCCTGTTCCCCCATGACCTACTCTCTCCTCCACTTTTCCCATTCTCTTCTACACAACTCCCACTCCCCCAACCTCCCAACATGTTCCCAATCTGTTCAGGAGATCTTGAATCATTCCTCTGCTCTGGGGTAGTCTGCATATCTAACTTAGGTACTTTCCTGGATCACAGACACTCTGTCAGTGGAATTGCAGACAGGCACTATTGTTATCCATATCTATAATCCATATATGAGTGAGTACATGACATGTTTGCATTTTTATAACTGGGTTACCTAAATCAGGATGGCTTCTTCTAGTGCCATTATTTGCCTGCAAAATTCAAGATTCCATTTTTCTCTGCGAAGTAGTACTCCATTGTGTAAATGTACCATATTTTATCTACTCACTCTTCAGTTGAAGGGCATCTAGGTTTTTTCCTGTTTCTGGCTATTTACAAATAATGATGTTATGAACAGATTGTAACTGATGCCCTTGTTGTATGAATTTGGATATTTTGGATATATGCCTGAGAGTGGAATGCTGGATTTTTGGGATACTGATTCCCAATATCCTGAGGAATCTCCAAACTGATTTCCAAAGTAGGTGTATATGTTGGCAGTCCCAACGGCAATGGACGAGTATTCCCTGATCCCAACATCCTCTCCAGCATAAATTGTCTTCGGTGTTTTTTATTTTTGCCATTCTGAAAGGAGTATGATGGTATCTCAGCATTGCTTTGACTTGCATTTCCCTGGTGGCTAAGGATGTGGTGCACTTTCTCAATTGTCTTCAGTCATTTTAAACTCCACTATTGAGATTACTCTATTTAGTTCTGTACAACATCTTTTAATTGGATCCTTTGTTGTTTTGGAGACTTACTTCTTGAGGTCTTTCTAAATTTTGGAGATCAGCCCTCTGTCAGATGTGGGGTTAGTGAATATCTTTTCCCATTCTGTATACTGACATTTTGTCTTGATAACTGTGTCCTTTGCCTTACAAAAGCTTCTTATTTTCAGGAGGTCCCATTCATTAAATGTTGATCTCAGTGTCTGTGCTATTAGTGTTGTATTCAGGAAGCAGTCTCCTGTACCAATTCATTGAAGATTATTCCCCATTTTCTCTTCTAAGATTTTCTGTGGGGTTTTATTTATGTTGACATCTTTGACACTTTTGGACTTAAATGTTTTTCAAGGGGATAGACAGAGATCTATCTGCAGTCTTCTGCATGCCTATATACAGTTATGCCAGTACCGTTTGTTGAAGATGCTTTCTTTTTCCATCTTATAATTTTAGATTCTTTGTCAAAAATCAAGTGATTATGCATATGTTTGTTAAAATTTGAGTTTTCTATTCCATTCCATTGGTCTACCTGTCTATTTTTGTGCCAATACCAAGCTGTTTTCAGGACTATAACTCTGTAGTAGAGCTTGAAGTTAGGGATGATGATTCCTCATGAAATTCCTTTATTGTATACGGTAGTTTAGGCTACCCTGGATCTATTTATCCCATTTAAACTCCACTAGCATTATAGGTCACATAGAGTGGAATTCCTTTTGAAGTCACGGATGTAGCCACCAAATATCATTTGTCCTGCTTTTTCATTGAAAAGACCCCGGCTGTTTGAATGGCATCTTGTAATATCTGTTTTAACCATCTCAATCATAACCTTTCAGTTCCAAGGTAAACATGCTATCTTAAATGTTAATGCCTCCAATTATTTCCTATCTCTTCTTTATTAATTCTCAGTTACCAGACTCTCATTCCTACTCGTCTGATCCTGTTCCTGAATTCAGAGGAATACAAGGGGACCCATTTGGTATGAATATTCCAAAGAAACAGAGAGAAAATTTTAATAGTCAAAATTTCTGATTTATTTTTCTGTGAACTGTCACATTGTTCTCACAGAGTTTTCACGATTTACTTTCTTAGCTGTGAAATGGGTGACTCTAAGTATACTATTTACAAAAAAGCACTCAAAAGCCATACTTAAAGCTCGAGGTAACTGTTTACTGTACTTCTTTAGAAAAAAATGGAATACGATGTGAACCTCAGATGGCTCATGATCAGACAAGTTAGCAAGAATAAATGCTACAAAAAGTTTTTATGCAACTATTAGTGTCATCATGAATGTCCATTATGCAGGCCAAAGACTACAGGGGCTTCATTAGATTACTTTTCTGTGTCTCCTAAGGCAGATGGAAACTCACAGTGTTCCTGTGCACTAATGGACATGTCAGTATGGCAAAAGCAGATGCCATTTAATTTCATTTGGATTAGTGAACTTGTCCTGCCATCCAGATCTCAGGGAACATGAGACAATTCCTGAGAATGGAGCTGGCCAGGCATTCTCCTTTTTGCCTCAGATCCACAGGCCCATAATCATATGGAGCAAAATTTTAATTATATCGGAATTATGGAATTTCAATTATATGCATAACATCACAAGGTGCAAAAAGGCTGCCTCATCTCAATTGAAATATGCCAAGAGAATGGGAGTATGGAACCTAAGCAGGCAATAATTTTGCAATTAAGAACGCTGAGGGTACTCATCCAACTCTGGTGATTATTAAATAATGTCAGAATGAAATGGAAAAGAGCTACGCAAAGAAGTGGAGCTGAATGGTCTTGGACATTGTAAGACGCAGTGCCTGATCAGAAGCTAAAATGTTTTCACCTGACCTATCATATGCCTTCCCAATGGTCTGTCAGCTAATGCTATGAATGCAGGCAGTGAGGATGATGGTGAAACGGGTGAAGGGTTAAACTTGTCTAGGGGTGGAAAACAGGTAAAAACAATTAAATATTTTCATTATCTCCCCATTGCATTAATTAGCAATGGCCCGAAATTATCATGCTTGGGTGTTTAGATGTACAGAAGCTGTGCTTTGCATTCTGCTGACACTGATTTGAAACTTTTGGCTCTTCAAAATTTTCCTTGATTAAGAAAACTGATTCTGCTTGATCCCTTGCAGGAGCCTAATGCAGATGGCCATTTGTCCGAAGCACCCTGAGACCTACCTTCTAGATGGTCTTTGTCTTCCTGGTAATCATCAATTTTTCCCCCTACCAGATATAGCTATGCCTTCTGAGTTCCCGGGCATATGGTGACAAATGAAAGTCAATGAGAGAAGTGATGACACAAAAATCATAATAACATTACACTTAGTCCCATGGTAAAATACAGGGAAGAAATATGGGCCTAGTCTCCTCAGGTCATTCTCATAGGCAAGTTCACAAGCCTTCATTCACCTAGCAATGTTTCCCTTGATGGGGAATCCTGTGAGGTCCAGGTGCTCTTCTTTAGGAAAGCACAGACACTGCCTCAGAAGGCACTTGTTGGCACATACTATGCGTGTCAAAACTGCAAGGAATAAGCACTCTGGTCATGTCCATCTCTTTTCATCTACATTTCAGTTATCCTGGATGCACACTTGGTAGCCCAGGAATTTCACCTTCAGGTAAGGAGAAAGATCATACTCAGTGCCTAATATCTTTTTTATCAATGCCTTCAAACATTAGAAAGCATGACATTCAAGGAAACCAGTGACAGTTAAGGCAAAGAACTTGTGCTCTCCCTTTCTTTTGGGAGTTCCCTAGGACTAAGCCCATGAGAAAAGACTGTTGATCGAAACTACCTTGTTTTGTAGAATTCCAAGTAGTAGATACTAAGAAACAGACCAGTGACTGTTCAGGGAAGTAGGACACAAGGATTGGATCAGGACATACAGGCCCTGTCTCTTGCACAGCTCAGTGATAGCTGAATGTGATCTTGAAATCCCTGCCTTGGGGTTTCTTTCTACTTACCTTGCTGATTGTTACTGCTGAGAAAGAGCTTCATGTTCTCTCTGTCTCAGGAGGGTGACATGCTCCAATATTGCAAATATGGTACTTAAGAATGGCCACCTTGCAACCCCTCAACTGCATGGAAATTACTTGGTTAAATCTCTGGGTCTTATAATGCAGAATGAGACTCACAATGTTCTAGTACATATCAGTAAGGCAAACTCAGAAAAGTTTCCTTTCATTAACTTTAGAGAACTTGCACTGCCTTGCAGGCATCAGGCCAAGTGAGGCAATTAGGCAAGTTTCATCTGTGCAGGCATTTCACTCTTTGCCTACATTCATAGACTCATCATCATGTAGAGACCCACCCACCACAAATAAGTGTCATGGTATTTCAAACACATGAATGACATCCCATGCTTCAAAAGGATTCCTCTGCTCATGTGATAAGGAATGTGCCAAGAGAAGGTGTGTAGACATCCTAAGAAGGCTGTACATGCACAATTAAGAACTTTGAACATATCTATCTTACTATACTGATTAGTCTATGATTTCAGAGGGAAACAAGACAGCGCTGTGTTAAGAACTGCAAATGACAGGATGGAACTTTTATGACACTGTGTATGATCAGCTTGGGCAGCAGATCAGCACCCATCCTGAGTCTACACATGGACTTTGGACTCCCATCAAACAATGTGAGGTGCACTCTCACCCTCAACTCTATTGACACCCCATGGAGTGCTTCACTCTCCCTGGGGAATTGAGGGGATAATGGGGGGGTTGGGGGGAGGGTATGGGATGAGGGGAGGGAAAGGGAGAGGGACTTGGAATTGACTTGCGAAGCAACCTAGTTTCTTATCTAAATTTAAAATGAAAAATAAAAAAGAGCTAAAAACTTTTCACCAAACATGTAAAATGCCTTCCCAATGGTCAGCAAGCTGATGCCGTGAATGCAGGAAGTATGGATGAGGGTGAAACAAGTGAAGCGTTATACTTGTCTAGGGGTGGCAAATATGTAACCACTGTTAAAATTTTCATTATCTCTTTCAAGGATTTGATTAACATATGCCCCCAATTATTATGCTCAAACATATGGACGTTCAAAAACTGGGCATTGCAATTCCTCTGACACTAACATGACATTTTGGTGATGCAAAACTTTCCATCAATAAGAGAACTGATTCTACTTGATTCTTTGCAGGAGCCTAATGCCAGCTGACCATTTGTGTAAACATACCATATATTCTGTAACCATTATTCAATTGAGGAGCATATAGTTTGTTTCCAGATTCTGACAATTACAAATACTGCTGTTATGATCATAGTGGAACAGATGTCCTTTTTGTATGAAATTGAACCTTTTGGATATATGTCTAAGAGTGGAATCCCTGGGTCTTGTGGTAGACTGATTCCCATTTTCCTGAGGAATCTTCATACTGATTTCCAAAGTGGGTGTATGAGTTTGCCTTCCCTCAAGCAGTGACAGATTGTTATCCTCTCTTTGCATCAACTCTTGCATAAATTGTTGTCATTGTTCTTGTTTTTAGCTATTCTGACATGAATAAGTTGATTTCTCAGAGTTGATTTGATTTGCATTTATCTATTAGCTAAGGATGTTGAGCACTTTCTCAAATGTCTCTCAGCCATTCAAGATTCTACTATTGAGAATTCTCTTTTTAGTTCTGTACCCCAGTTTTAATTTGCATTCTTTGGTGTATTGGGGAATTGTATCTTCTGTTTTTTTAAATATTGTAGATCAGCCTTCTGTATGATGTGGGTATAGTTAATATCTTTTCCCATTTGGTGGTCTGTCTTTTTGTCTTGCAGACTGTGTCCTTTGCCTTACAGAAACTTCTTAGTTTCAGGAGGCCCCATTTGTTAATTGTTAATATCAGAGTCTTTGCTACTGGTGTTATATTCAGGAAGCTGTCTTCTGTACCAATTAACTGAATATCTCCCATTTTCTCTTCTAAGAATTTCATTGTGTTTGTATTTATATTGAGGTTTATGATCCATTTGTACTTAATTTTGTGCAAGAAAAATATAGACACGGATATATCTACAGTCTTCTGCATGCCTATATCCAGTTATACCAGTACTATTTTTTGAAGATGCTTTCTTTTTTCCATTGTATAATTTTAGCTTCTTTATCAAAATCAAGTGTTCAGTGGTATGTGAATTCATCTCAGGGTGTTCAATTCAATTCCATTGGTCCACCTGTATATTTTTGTGCCAATACAAATCAGTTTTCAAGACTATAGCTCTGTAATAGAGCTTGAAGTTACAGATGTCCCTTTACTTTATAGGGTTGTTTAGCAATCCTGGATCTATTTATCCTATTTCATTACAATAGAATTCTAGATCACATAGAGTGGAATTCCATTGTGAAGTCACTGATGTAGTCACCAAATATTATTGATCATTCTGTGCTTCTTCATTGAACTGACCTCAGTGAATATGTGCAGGCATCCTTTACCGGAAGTGCTTGGACAATTAAGAAATTTGAATGTACCCATCTTACTATGGTGATAGGGAAATGGGATAGCACTCGTCAAAGAACAAAAAATGACAGGTTGGAAATTTTATGACACAGTTCATGATCAGATGCTAAAATACTTTCAACAAACCTATAATATGCCTTCACAATACTATGAATGCAGGAAGTGAGGATGAGGTTGAAAAAACTGAAGAGTTAAACGTGCTAGGGGTGGCAAGCAGGTAACCACCATGAAAATTTTTCATTATTTCTTCTATGGCTCTGATTAGCGATTGTCCCAATTATCATGCTTGAGGGATTGGGAAGTCTGAAGATGGGCATTACAATTCCAATGACACCAACATGATATTTTGGCCCCCAAATATGTTTCCTTGGGTAAGAGAACTGATTACCCTTGATACCATGCAGGAGCCAAATGCCAGATGCTCATTTGTCTGAAGCTCACAGAGATCTACCTTCTAGGTGGTCTTTGTCATCCTGCTAAGCAGCAATGTTTGTGACACAATATCAAGTATAGCTATGTCTTCTTAGGACCCAGGTTTATGATGACAAGCCAATGTCATGAATAGAGCTGATGACACAAAAATGATGCAAAATCAGATTATGCTGAGGCCCAAGCAAAAGAAAAGGTGAAAAACGAGGACCTAATATCCTCAGGCCACTCTTATAGGCTTTTGCACAGGGCCTCATTCACCCAGGAGTATTTCCCTCTCTTTGGAATCCTGGGAGGTACAGTTGCTCTTGTTTAGAGGAGCACTGAGCCTCCATGAGCAGGAAATTGTGGCACTCTCATGTATCAAGGATGCCAGACATCAGCACTCTTCTCGTGTCCATCTCTTCTCTTCTCTTCTCTTCTGCATTTCAGTGATCCCAGATGCCAACATGGTGCCTCAATCATGAGACATTCATGCAAGTGGAAATATCAGCCTAAGTGGCTGGCTCAATCCTGGAGATGTGCATTCAAAGATTGAAATTCATGAACTTCTATGAATACAAAAACTTGCAGCACAAAACTTGTGTTCTCCTTTCCTTTTGGGAATCACTTAGCAATAAACCCATGAGACCAGGATGTTAATTGAAACTACAATTCTTGTGGAATTCAAATAATAGGTATTGAGAAACAGAGGACTGGCTGGACTGGGAAGTGGTTCAAAATCCTTAGGCCAGGATGTTCAGGGATTCTCCCTGCACAGCTCAGTGATAAGTGATTGTGATCTTGAAATCCTGCCTTGGGGTGTCTATTAAACTCTCATGGTGTATGTTACTGCTGGAGACAGAGCTTCGTGTTCTTGCTGTGTCAGGAATGTGGCATGCTCCAAACATTCAAATATGTCACTTAATAATGTATACGTTGCAGGAAATCATCTGCAAGGAGAAAATTTGGTTACTTCTCTGGGGCTCATAAGACAGATGTAGACTCACAGCATTCTACTGTACAAATTACATATCAGTTAGGCAACCTCGGATATCTTTTCTTTTGTTAGGATTAGTGAACTTGTCCTGCCATTCAGGCATCAGGCCACATGAGGCAATTTGTCAGGATGCATCTGGCCAGGTATTCCACTTTTGGCGAGATTTACAGGCTCTTCATCATGTTTAGACCCACTAGTAACACATCAGTGGCATGGAATTTCAACCACATGAATGACACTCCAAACTGCAAATGCTTACATTGCATGTGTGATAAGAAATGGGTCAAGAGTACAGGTTTAGGTATCCTATACACAGTGAAGGTCTCTAAAGAAGCATAAACCTGCCACAAGACCCAGCAACTCCACTCTGAGGCATATATCCAAAAGATGCCTATTCATACAACAAAGATGTCTGTTCCACCATGTTCATAGCAGCTTTATTTGTAATAGCCAGAACTTGGAAGCAACCTAGATGTCCCTCAACCGAAGAGTGGATAGAGAAAATGTGGTACATCTACACAATGGAGTACTATTCAGCAGAAAAAAGTAATGGAATCTTGAGATTCGCAGGCAAATGGATGACACTAGAAGAAACCATCCTGAGTGAGGTAACCCAGTCACAAACAGAGAAACATGGCATGTACTCTCTCATATATGGATTTTAGACATAGGTCTGGGGAGTGCCAGCCTACAATCCTATGGCCAGAGAGTCTGGGAAACAGAAACTTTATTTAGTGGCTGATCGAAGAAGAGGCAAACTCCCTTGGTTAAGTACTGAGCTGAACTCAAGAAAGCCAGTAACAGAGAGGGAGGACTGATGATCAAAGGGATTAAGACTGGGCTGGTTTAACACCCAGAAACAGCTGACCAGACAAAGATTAACTCTTGAATCCCAGGCATCAGCCTGGGAATCCAGCATGGGACTGATCAAGACCCCCCTTAATCTGGGTGTCAGTGAGGAGGCCTAGGGAATCTATTGAGCCTTGGGCAGCAGATCAGTACCCATCCCAAGTATACACACGGACTTTGGACTCCCATAGAACAATGTGAGGTGCACTCTCACCCTGAACTCTTGGGGAAGTGTCTAGGCCCTGCCCTATATGAAATGACAGACTATTGACACCCACATGGAGGGCCTCACCCTCCCTGGGAGAATGAGGGAATAACGGGGAGGGGTTGGGGGGAGGGCACGGGAGGAGGGGAGGGAAAGGGAGAGGGACCTGGAACTGACTTGTGAAGCAACCTTGTTTCTTATCTAAATATAAACTGGAAAATAATGTAAAAAAAAAGTAATGGGTCAAGAGTACAGGTTTAGCTATCCTAATCACACAGTAAATGGGCTATAAAGAAGCATAAAGTTATGCATCTTACAATGGTGATTGGGCAGTGATGTCAGAGGGAAATGGGATAGTGTTGTGCAAATAACTGGATATGAATGTTCTTGGACCTTGTAAGACAAAGTGCCAGATCAGAACCTAAATCTTTTTCCACAGACCTAAAATATGCCTACGCAATGTTCTGTCAGATAATGATATGAATGCAGGTGGTTAGGATGTTGGTTAATCATTTGAAAGTTTAAACAAAAAGCTAACAAGCATTAAAATTTTTCATTATCTCTTCCACAAATTTGATTAACAATTGCCATCAACTATTGGGTGTTCAGGAGCTGGGCATTTCAATTCCTCTGATACTGACATGACATTTTGAGGACACAAAATTTTACTTGACTATGAGAATTGAATCTATTTGATCCCTTGCAGGATCCTACTGCCGGTTGACCATTTGTCTAATGCTCACTGAGACTTACATTCTAAATGGTGTTTGTAATCCTGGTAATCAGCACTGTTTGTGACCCACTATCAAGTATAGCTATGAAGTCTGAGGACGCGGGTCTATAATGACAAATCAATGTCATGAAGAGAGGTGATGACATACAAATCATGCTCAATAGGATTATGCTCAGGCCCTGGCTAAAGGACAGAGGAGAAATGGGGGCCTATTCTTTCTTGGGACATTTTCATAGGACAGTGAACAAGCCCTAATTCACCAAGGATTGCTTCCCTCTCTGGGGCATCCTGTGAGGTCCAGCTGCTCTTCTTTAGGAATCCTGTGAAATCCAGTTGTTCTTACTTAGGAGAGCTTGAGTCCTTCCTCAGAAGTCACCAGTTAGGGCAATCTATGTATGTCAATGCTGGCTGGCCTCAGCACTCTGCTCATTCCATCTCTTCTGTTCTGCATTTCAGTGATCCAGGATTCAGTCTTCTAACCCACTCATTTCACCTTCAGGTAAGTGGAAAGTTCATGTTAAGTGCCTAGGTCTATTTTGGATATCCACCTTCAAACATTAGAAAGCATGACCTTCTAGGAATGCAGTGACATATAAGGCATACATCTTGGTCTCTCCCTTAATTTGGGGAATCCAATAGGACTTACACCATGAGAAAAGGTTGGTAATTCAAACTGCCTTATCTTGTAGAATTCCAAGTAATAAGTACTGGGAAACAGAGCAGTGACTGTTCGTGGAGGTGGGACAGAAGAATTGGGTCGGGAATTTAAGGATTTTTCCTTGCATAGCTCATTGATAGTTGAATGTGATCATCAGGTCCTTGCCATGGAGTATCTATCTACCTACAATACTGATTGTCACTGCCAGGGCAAGAGCTTCATATTCTCCCTGGGTCAGGAGGGAGACATGTTCCAAACTTGTATAGACAATGCTCACGAATATTCACTATGCAAGACCTAAACAGCAGGCAGATCAATATGTTACTTTCTGGGGTTCATGAGGCAGACAGACACCAACAGTAATCAAGTGCACAAATGTACATATCAGTTATACAAACACAGATAATGTTTACTTTCTGAGCATTAGTGATCTTGTCCTTCCATGCAGGCTTCAAACTAATTGAGGTAATTCAAAAGGGTGCATCGGGCCAGGAATTACCCTCTTTGCCTAGATGAACAGGATCATCAATATGTAGAGACAAACTCACGACACAGCAGTAGCACAGTATTTCAAACACATGAATGACATCCCAAGTTGCAATGGCTTCCTTTGCCTATGTGATAAGAAATGGACGAAGTGTACAGTTTTAGGTATCGTAAGCACACAGTGAATGGGTTATAAAGAACCTCGAGGGTATGTATCTTACAATGGTGCATGGGCAGTGAAGACAGACTGAAATTGGGATAGAGCTGTGCAAAGAACTGGAGATGAATGGTCTTATACCTTGTACGACACAGTGCCTGATCAGAAGCAAAAATATTTTTAGCAGACAAATAATATGCCTACCCAATGATATGTCATCTAATGCTATGTATGCAGGCAGTGAGAATGAGGATAAAACATTTGAAATGTTGAATGTTTCTACCAGTAACAAACAGGTAACAAGCATTAAATTTTTACATTATCTCTTCCACGACTTGTATTAACAATTGCCCCCATCTATCTTGTAGAGAGTTTGGGTGTTCCGAAGCTTGGCATTTCAATTCCTCTGACACTGACATGACATTTTGGGGACACCAAATTTTCCTTGACTAAGTGAACTGATTCAGCATGATCCCTTGCAAGAGATTATTCCTGGCTGATATTTGTCAGAAGCTCGCTGAGACATATCTTCTAGATGTTCTTTGTCATGCTGGCAAGTAGCACAGTTTGTTTCCCACTATCAGGTATAGCTATGCATTCTGAGGATGGGGATCTATGATGACAAACCAATGTTATGAAGAGAGGTGATTGTAGGAGTGAACCCCACAAAGCTATCCGCCCAACAGGGCGGGGTCAATGTAGAGATAAAAGGTAGTGAAAGGAAAAGGGGCCTCCCTCTTTTCTCCTGGAAGCCAGCCACACTTCTAACTCCTGGTATGTGCGACTCTCTCTTTCCCTGATAAATAAATGTATTGTTTTTCCCTATATAGCCTCGATTATCGTTATAGGTGATGACATAAAAATCATGCTCAATGGGATTACGCTGATGCCCAGGCTAAAGTACAGGGGGAAATGGGGGCCTAGTCACCACTATTCTCATAGGCCAGTGCACAGGCATTGAATCACCCAGGAGTGTTTCCCTGTCTATAGAATCCTTTGAGGTACAGGTGCTCTACTTTAGAAGAGCATGAGTCCTACCTCAGAAGGCATTAGTTGGGGCAATCTATGTATGTCAAGGCTGGTAGGCATTAGCACTTTGCTCGTGTCCATCTCTTCTGTTTTGCATTTCAGTGATCCAGGATGCTGTCTTCTAACCAAGTAATTTCACCTGCAGGTAAATGGAGTGTTCATGGTAATAGCTAGATCTCTTTCGGGTATATGCCTTCAAACATTAGAAAGCATGACCTTCTAGGAATGCAGTGACCTTTAAGGGATACAAGTTGGGCTCTCTCTTGCTTTTGGGAATCCCCTAGACCTAACCATGAAAAAGGTTGGTAATTCAAACTGCATTGCCTTGTAGAATTCCAAGTAGTGGGTACTGGGTAAGAGAGCACTGACTGTTCTCTGAGGTGGGAAACAAGGCTTGGGTCAGGACGTTCAGGAACTTTTCCTTGCATAGCTCAATGATAGTTGAATGTGATCTTCAAATCCCCTTCGTGGGGTATCTATCTACTTCCCATACTGATTGTTACAGCAGGGACAAATGCTTCCTGTTTTCACTGGGTCAGGTGGGTGACATGCTCCAAACTTGTATAGACGGTGCTCAAGAATGACCACTATGCAAGCCCTAGACAGCAGGATAACTCCATGTTACTATTCTGGGGCTCATGAGGCAGACAGACATGCACATTAACCTAGTGCACAAATATACATATATGTTAGACAAACACTGATACATTTTCACTTCTGTAGGATTAGTGAAATTGTCCTGCCATATAGGCTTCAGCCTATTTGAGTCAATTCGAAAGGTTGCATCTGGCCATATTTTCCCCACTTTTCCTAGATGAACATGCTCATCAACAGGTAGAGACACACTCACCACACATCACTGGCATGCAATTTCAACCACATGAATGACATCCCAAGTTGCAAAGACTTCTTTGCATATGTCATAAGAAATGGGCCAAGAGTCCAGGTATAGGTGTCCTAGCAGGTGGTGATTGGCCAATAAAGAACATTGAGGGTATGCGTCTGACAATGGTGATTTCTCGCTGATATCAGAGTAAATAGGATAGAGCTTTCTAGGATAGAGCTTTGCAAAGAACTGGTCATGAATTGTCTTGGAGTTTGTAAGAAACATTGCCTGATCAGAAGGTAAAATGTTTTCAGCAGACCAATTATATATCTTCCAAATTCTCTGTCAGCTAATGCTATTGAATCATGCAGTGATGATGAGGGTGAAACATTGGAAGGATTATACTTGTCTACAGGTAGCAAACAAGCAACAAGTATTAAAATTTTTCATTATCTCATCCATGACTATGAATAACATTTGTCCCCAAAAATTGTGTAGAGTGTTTGGATTTCTGAAGCTGGGCATTTCAATTCCTCTGACACTAATATAACATTTTGGTGATGCTAAATTTTCTTGACTAGGAGAACTGATTCTGCTTGATTACATGCAGGAGCCTAATGCAAGCTGACCATTGGTCTGAAGCTTGCTGAGATTACCTTCTAGATGGTTTTTGTCATCCTGGTAAGAAGCATGGTTTGTGTCCCATTATCAGGTATAGATATGCCTTCTGAGGATATGGGTCTAGGATGGCAAACCAATGTCATGAAGAGAGGTGATGACATCAAATCATGCTCAATAGGATTATGCTGAGGCCCAGGCTAGAGGACAGAAGAGAATTGGGGACTAAAGTTACTCAGGGCATTCTCGTAAGCCATAACACAGGCCCTCATTTACAAAGCAATGGTTCCCTGTCTGGGGATTCCTGTGAGATCTAGTTGCTCTTCTTTTGGAGAGCATGAGTCCTGCAAAGGAGGCAATAATTTGGGCAAACCACGTATGTCAATGCTGGCCGGCCTCAGCACTTTGCTCATGTCCATCTTTCTCTTATGGATTTCAGTGATACAAGATGCATACTTGGTGCCCCAATCCTTTCTCCTCAAGGTAAGTGGAAAGTTCATGTTAAGTGCCTGGGTCTGTTTTGGATATCTGCCTTCAAACATTAGAAAACATGACCTTCTCTGAATCAAGTGATATTTAAGCCATAGAACTTGGGTTCTCCCTTCCTTTTGGGAATCCCTTAGGCCTAATACCATGATAAAAGAATGATAATTCACGCTGCCATGTCTTTTAGAATTCCAAGTGGTAGGTATTGTGTAACTGTGCAGTGACTATTCCAAGAGGTAATTCACAAGGAATGGTTCAGGAAGTTCACGCCATATTCCTAGCACAGCTCATTGATAGGTGAATATATTCTTCAAATAACTTCCATATTGATTGTAACTGCCTTGGCAAAAGCTTCATGTTCTCACAGTTTCATGAAGGTTTCATGCTCCACACTTGAGTTGATGGCATTCAGGAGTATCCATTGTAAGCTGCCTCGACTCAAGGGAGATCACTATGTTACCTCTCTAAGGCTCAAAAGTGAGACAGAGACTCAGAGATTTATATGGACTAATATACATATAAGTAAGGCAAAATAAGATACCTTTTCATTTCATTAGGATTAGTGAACTTTTTCTGCCATTCAGGCATTAGGAAACATGAGGCAATTCAACAGTGAATATCTAGCCAGGCATACCACTATTGCCTAGATGCACAGGCTCATCAAAATGAGGAGACCCACTCACCACACATAAGTGGCATGAAATTTCAAAAACATGAATGGCATCCCAAGTTATAAAGGCATCCATGCTTCATGTGATAAGGAATTAGCCAGGAGAACAGGTGAAGTTTTCATATGCATGTTGTGCTTGGGCAATTAAGAAACTTGAGGTTATGCATCCTACAATAGTGAGTATTCAGTGATGTCAGAGGGAAATATGATGGCTCTTTGCAGAGCAGCTGAGATACCTTGGACCTTATAAGACACAATGAACGATCAGATGGTAACATGTTTTCACCAGGAATATAATATGCATTCCTTATGGTCTGTCACCTCATGCAATAAATGCTGGAAGTGAGCATGAGGATGAAACCAGTGAAGGGTTAAACTTGGCTAGGTGTGCAAACAGGTAACTGCATTTGCAATTTAACATTATCTACCCCAAACCACTGATTATCAATACACCCAATCATCATAATCTATATATGGGCACTCCAAACCGATCATTGCAATTCTGCTGACACTGACTTGTAAATTTGGAACCATACCATTTTCCTTGACTGAGACAACTGATTCTGCTTGATACCCTGCAGGAGTCTAATGCCCGCTGACCATTTGTGTGAAGCTTGCTGAGACCTACCTTCTAGACAGATGGTCTTTGTCATCCTGGTAAGTATCACAGTTTGTGACCCACGAGCAGGTATAGCAATGCCTTCTGAGGACACGGGTCTATGAGGACAAACCAACGTCATGAAGAGAGGTGATGACAAAAAATATCATGCTCAGGATGGGGCTGCTGAGTCCCAGGCTAAAGGTCAGGAGAGAAATGGGTGACTAGGCCCATGATGCCTTTCTCATAGGCCAGTGCACAGGCCCTCAGTACCCAGCAGTGTTTCCCTTCTGGGGAATCCTGTTAAGTCCAGGTGCTCTTCCTTAGATGAGCCTGAATCCTCCCAAAAAAGGCACTTTTGGCAAAAATCTATGTTTGTCAACCTGGACGGCATCAGCACACTGCTCATTTCCATCCACTCTCTTCTGCATTTCAGTTAATGAGCATGAAGACTTGGTGCCTCAATCACTTCACATTCAGGTATGTGGAAATATCAGCTTGAGTGCCTATGTCTCCTTTGGATATCATTATGCAAACATTAGAAAACAAGACATTCTAGAAAACCAGTGAAATTTAAGCCAGTGAACTTGGGCTATCCCTTTCTTTTTGGAATCCACTCTGACTAAAACCATGATAAAAAGTTGGAAATAAAAGATTCCGAGTTATTTAGAATTCCTATAGTACGTATTGGTTTACTGAGCTGTGAAATTTCAAAGATATGGGACAAAACAAATGGGTGAAGAAGTTCAGTCCATTTTTATTGCACAGCTCATTGATAGGTGAAAGTATTTTTCAAATAAATTCCACACTGATTGTTACTGCCTCTGTACAGGGTTAATCTTAGGTAGGTGTGCCAAAAGATAACTGCATTTGCAATTTATCATTATCTACCCCGAAGCACTGATTATCAATGCACACAATCATCACATTGTAGATATTGGGAATTCCAAACCTGAGCATTGCGATTGTGCTGACACTGACTTGTAAATTTGGATACATAAATTTTCTTCACTGAGATAACTGATTCTGCTTGATACCCTCAGGAGACTTATGCCCGCTGACCATTTCTGTGAAGCTTGCCGAGACATACTTTCAGAATAGATGGTCTTCATCATCATGGTAAGTAGCACCGTTTGTGTCCCACTAGCAGGTATAGCTATGCCTTCTGAGGACACGGATCTATGATGACAAACCTATATCATGAAGAGAGGTGATGACATAAATATCATGCTCTGGTTCCGGCAGCTGAGGCCCAGGTAAAGGACAGGCGAGAAATGGGGGAGTAGTCCCATCATGCCTTTGCAATAGGCCCATGCACAGGCCCTCATTTGCACAGAGTGTTTCCTTTCTGGGGAATCCTGTTATGTCCAGGTCCTCTTCTTTAGGGGAGCATGAGTCCTGCCAAGGAAGGCACTTTTTGGCAAAATCTAAATATGTCCAGATGGCCGGCATCAGCACACTGCTCATTTCCATCTATTCTCTTATGCATTTCAGTGAATGAGGATTCAGACTTGGTACCTCAATCATTTCACCTTCAGGTACGTGGCAATATCAGTGTATGTACCGAAGTCTCATTTTGATATCATCCTTCAAACATTATAAAGCAAGACCTTCTAGGATTCCAATGAAATCTAAGCCATAAAACTTGGGTCCTCCCTTCCTTTTTGGAATCCAATCTGACTAAGACCATTATAAAAGAGTGGTAATTAAAGATGCCTTGACTGTATAATTCCAATTAGTAGATATTGGGTAACTGATCTGTGAATTTTCGAACCGGTGGGAATAAGAAATGGATCAGGACTTTCAGTCCATTTTATTACACAGGATATTCATAGGTGAATGTCTTTTTCAAATACATTCCACATTGACTATTAATTCCTTGGCAAGAGTTTTATGTTGTCACTGTGCCAGGAAGTTTTCATGCTCCAGTCTTGCATAGATGTTGCTCAGGAGTGTCCAATCTGCAGGCCCAGGAGTGCAGGGAGATCACTAGGTAACCGTCCTGAGGGTCAAAAGGGAGAGAGACTCAGAATATTCTAGTGTACTAATGTACACATCAGTAAGTTTAAATCAGATACAATTTCTTTTTGTTTAGTTTAGTGAGCTTGTCCTGAGATGCAGGCAACAGGCCACATGAGGCAATCTGACGATATGCAACTGGACAGACATTCCCCTCTTGGCATAGATGCATAGGCTCAGCATTATGTGGATAACCACTCACCTCACATAATTGGCATGAAATTTCAAACTCATGATTGTCATCCAAAACTATAAAGGACTCGATCCTTCCAGTGATAAGATACGGTAAGAGAACAGGTTAAGGCATACTATGCATGTGGTGCTTGGGCAGTTTAGAAACTTGAGGTTATACATCTTTCAATGGTGAGTACTCAGTGATGTGATAGGGAAATAGGATAGCTCAGTGCTGAGCAGATGAGATGTCTTGAAACTAGTGAGACACAGTGAATTATCAGATGGTAAAATGCTTTCACCTGGTCTATAAAATGCCCTTCCCATGGTCTGTGAGCTCAAGCATTGAATGCTGCCAGTGAGGATGGGGATGAATACAGTCATGGGTTAATCTTGGCTAGGTGTGGCAAAAGATAACTGCATTTGCAATTTATCATTATCTGCCCCAAAGCACTGATTATCAATGCACACAATCATCACAATGTAGATATTGGGCATTCCAAACCTGAGAATTGCGATTGTGCTGACACTGACTTGTAAACATGGATCCATAAATTTTCTTCACTGAGATAACTGATTCTGCTTGATACCATCAGGAGGCTAATGACGGCTGACCATTTGTGTGATGATTGCTGAGACATACCTTCTGAATAGATGGTCTTTGTCATCCAGGTAATTAGCACTGTTTGTGTCCCACTAGCATGTATAGCTATGCCTTCTGAGGACACAGGTCTATGATGACAAACCTACCTCATGAAGAGAGGTGATGACATAAAAATCTTGCTCAGGTTATGGCTGCTGAGGCCCAGGTTAAAGGACAGGTGTGAAATGGGTGACTAGTCCCATCAGGCCTTTCCCATTGGCCCGTGGAGAGGCCCTCATTTACCCAGCAGTGTTTACCTTCTGGGGAATCCTGTTAGGTCCAGTTGCTCTTCATTAGGGGAGCCTGATTCTTCCAAAATAAGGCTCTTTTGGTAAAATCTAAGTATGTCCATTTGGCTGGCATCAGCATATGGCTCATTCCATCTATTTTCTTATGCATTTCAGAGAACGAGGATTCAGACTTGGTGCCTCAATCATTTCACCTTCAGGTACGTGGCAATATCAGTGTATGTATCCAGGTCTTGTTTTGATATCCACCTTCAAACATTAGAAAGCAAGAAGTTCTTGGATTCCAATGAAATCTAAGCCATAAAACTAGGGGTCTCCCTTCCTTTTTGGAATCCAATGTAAGCCATAAATGTTGGGTACTCCCTTCCTTTTTAGAATCCAATCTGACTAAGACCATGATAAAAGGGTTATAATTAAAGATGCCTTGACTTTATAATTCCTATTAGTTGATATTGGGTAATGGAGCTGTGAATTTTAAAACAGGTGGGATCAAGAAATGGATCAGGACTTTCAGTCCATTTTAATTACAAAGCATATTGATAGGTGAATGTATTTTTAAATACCTTCCACATTGATTGTTACTACCTTGGCAAAATTTTTATCTTCTCACTCTGCCAGGAATTATTCATGCTCCAGCCTTGCATAGATGTTGCTCATGTGTTTCCAGTCTGCAGGCCCTGGAGTGCAGGGAGATCACTAGGTTACCTTTCTGCGGGTCAAATTGAGAGAGACTCACAGTGTTCTAGTGTGCTAATGTACACATCAGTAAGTTAACCTCAGATACCATTTCTTTTTGTTAGGATTAGTGAACTTGTCCTGAGATGCAGGCAACAGGCCACATGAGGCAATTCGACAATATGCAACTGGACAGACATTCCCCTCTTGGCAAAGATGCACAGGCTCAGCATTATGTGGATAACCACATAACACATAATTGGCATGAAATTTCAAACACATGATTGTCATCCCAAAATATAAAGGCCTCGATCCTTCCTGTGATTATCTATTGTAAGAGAACAGGTTAAGGCATCCTATGCATAAGGTGCTTGGGCAGTTAAGAAACTTGAGATTATACATTCTTCAATGGTGAGTACTCAGTGATGTCATAGTGAAATAGGAAAGCTCAGTGCAGAGAATTAAGATGTCTTGAACCTAGGTATACACAGTGAAGGATCAGATGGTAAAACGTTTTCACAAGGCCTATAATGTGCCCTTTCCATGATCTGTCAGCTCAAGCACTGAATGCTGGCAGTGAGGATGAGGATGAAATCAGTGATTGGTTAATCTTGGCTAGGTGTGGCAAAAGATAACTGTATTTGCAATTTATCATTATCTACCCCGAAGCACTGATTATCAATGCACATAATCATCCCATTGTAGATATTGGGAAATCAAAATCTGAGCATTGCGATTGTGCTGACACTGCCTTGTAAATTTGGATCCATAAAATTTCTTCACAGAGATAACTGATTGTGCTTGATACCCTCAGGAGGCTAATGCCCACTGACCACTTGTGTGAATTTTGCTGAGACATACCTTCTGAATAGATGGTCTTTGTCATCATGGTAAGTAGCACTGTTTGTGTCCCACTAGCATGTATAGCTATGCCTTCTGAGAACACGGGTCTATGATGACAAACCTACGTCATGAAGAGAGGTGATGACATAAAAATGATGCTCAGGTTTCAGGCTGCTGAGGCCCAGGTTAAAGGAGAGGGTAGTAATGGGGGACTAGTCCCATGAGGTCTTTCCCATAGGTCCGTGTACAGGTCCCCTTTCCCCCAGCAGTGTTTCCTTCTGCAGAATCCTGTTAAGTCCTGTTGCTCCTCTTTAGGGGAGCATGAGTCCTCCCAAGGAAGGCTCTTTTGGCAAAATCTAAGTATGTCCAGACAGCCGGCGTCATCACATGCTCATTTCCATCTATACTCTTATGCATTTCAGAAAACGAGAATTCAGACTTGGTGCCTTAATCATTTCACCTTCAGGTACGAGACAATATCAGTGTATGTACCCAGGGTCGCTTTGATATCCTCCTTCAAACATTAGAAAGCAAGACCTTCTTGGATTCCAATGAAATCTTAGCCAAAAAACCTGGGTTCTCCCTTTCTATTTGGAATCCAATCTGACAAAGACCATGATAAAAGGATGGTAATTAAAGATGCTTGACTTTATAATTCCAATTTGTAGATATTGGGTAACTGAGCTGTGAATTTTCGAACAGGTGGGATCAAGAAATGGATCAGGGCTTCCAGTCCATTTTAATTACACAGCCTATTGATAGGTGAATGTATTTTTCAAATACATTCCTCATTTATTGTTACTACCTTGGCAAGCATCTTATGCTGTCACTGTGCCAGGAAGTTTTCATGCTCCAGTCTTGCATAGTTGTCTCTCAGGATTGTCCAGTCTGCAGGCCAAGGAGTGCAGGGAGATAACTAGGTTAAATTTCTGAGGGTCTAAGCGGATATACACAGTCACAGTGTTCTGGTGGACCAATGTACATATCAGTAAGATAAACTCAGATACCATTTCTTTTTGTTAGGATTAGTAAACTTGTCCTGATATGCAGGCAACAGGCCACATGAGGCAATATGACAATGTGCAACTGGAAGCGCATTCCCCTCTTGGCATATATGCAGAGGCTCAGCATTTATGGATACACACTCACAACATATAAGTGCCATGAAATTTCAAACACTGAATGTCATCCCAAGGTATAAAGCATACACCTTTCCAGTGATAAGGTAGGGTAAGAGAACTGGTGAAGGCATACCATGCTTGTGGTGCTTGGGCACTAAGAAACTTGAGGTTATACATCCTACAGTGGTGAGTACCTAGTGGAGTCACAGGGGAATAGGATAGCTCAGTGCTGAACAGATGAGATGTCTTGAACCTAGTGAGACACAGTGAATGTTTAATGGTAAAATGTTTTCACCAGACCTATAATATGCCTTTCCCATGGTCTGTCAGCATAAACATTGAATGCTGGCAGTGAAGATGAGGATGAAACCAGTGATGGGTTAATCACAAGATAACTGCATATGCAATTTATCATTATCTACTCCGAAGCACTGATTATCAATGCACACAATCATCACATTGTAGATATTGGGAATTCCAAACCTGAGCATTGCGATTATGCTGACACTGACTTGTAAATTTGGATCCATAAATTTTCTTCACTGAGATTACTGAATCTGGTTGATTCCCTCAGGACTCTAATGCCCTCTGACCATATGTGTGAAGATTGATGAGACATACCTTCTGAATAGATGGTCTTTGTCATCCTGGTAAGTAGCACTGTTTGTTTCCCACTAGAATGTATAGCTGTGCCTTCTGAGGACACGGGTGTATGATGAGAAACCTACGTCCTGAAGAGAGGTGATGACATAAAAATCATGCTCAGGTTCCGGCTGCTGAGGCCCAGGTTAAAGGACAGGGAAGAAATGGGGGACTAGTCCCATCAGGCCTTTCCCATAGGCCCGTGTACAAGCCCTCATTCACCCAGCAGTGCTACGCTTCTGGGGAATCCTGTTAAGTCCTGTTGCTCTTCTTTAGGGGAGCATGAGTCCTCCCAAGGAAGGCTCTTTTGGCAAAATCTAAGTATGTCCATATGGCGGCATCAGCACAATGCTCATTTCCATCGATTCTCTTATGCATTTCAGTGAACGAGGGGTCAGACATGGTGCCTCAATCATTTCACTTTCAGGTACGTGGCAATATCAGTGTATGTACCCAGGTCTTGTTTTGTTATCCTCCTTCAAACATTAGAAAGCAAGACCTTCTAGGGTTCCAATGAAATCTAAGCCATAAAGCTTGGGATCTCCCTTCCTTTTTGGAATCCAATCTGACTAAGACCATGATAACAGGATGATAATTAAAGATGCCTTGACTTTATAAATACAATTAGTAGATATTGGGTAACTGAGCTGTGAACAGGTGGGATCAAGAAATGGATCAGGACTTTCTGACCATTTTAATTACACAGCACATTGATAGGTAAATGTATTTTTCAAAAACCTTCCACATTGATTGTTACTGCCTTGGCAAGAGCTTTATGTTCTCACTGTGCCAGGAAGTATATATGCTCTAGTGTTACATAGATGTTGCTCAGGAGTGTCCACGCTGCAGGCCCAGGAGTGCAGGGAGTTCATCATGTTACCTTTCTGAGGGTCAAATTGAGAGAGACTAACAGTGTTCTAGTGTACTAATGTACACATCAGTAAGTTAACCTCAGATACCATTTCTTTTTGTTAGGATTTGTGAACTTGTCCTGAGATGCAGGCAACAAGCCACATGAGGCAATTTGCCAATATACAACTGGACAGTTATTCCCCTCTTGGCATAGATGCACAGCCTCAGCATTATGTAGATAACCACTCACCACACATAATTGGCATGAAATTTCAAACACATGATTGTCATCCCAAACCATAAAGGCCCCGATCCTTCCTTGATAAGATACGATAAGAGAACAGGTTAAGGCATCCTATGCATGTGGTGCTTGGGCAGTTTAGAAACTTGTGGTTATACATCCTACATTGGTGAGTACTCAGTGATGTCATAGGGAAATAGGAAAGCTCAGTGCAGAGCAGATGAGATGTCTTGAACCTAGTGAGACACAGTGAATGATCAGATGGTAAAACGTTTTCACCAGGCCTATAATGTGTCCTTCCCATGGTCTGTCACCTCAAGCATTGAATGCTGGCAGTGAGGATGAGGATGAAACCAATGATTGGTTAATCTTGGCTAGGTGTGGCAAAAGATAACTGCAATTCCAATTTATCATTATCTACCCCAAAGCACTAATTATCAATGCACACAATCATCACAATTTAGATATAGGGAATTCCAAATCTGAGCTTTGCGATTGTGCTGACACTGACTTGTAAATATGGAGCCCATAAATTTTCTTCACTGAGATAACTGATTCTGCTTGATACCCTCAGGAGGCTAATGCCCACTGACCATTTGTGTGAAGCTTGCCGAGATACTTTCTGAATAGATGGTCTTTGTCATCCTGGTAAGTAGCATTGTTTGTGTCCCACTACCATGTAGAGGTATGCCTTCTGAGGACACTGGTCTATGATGACAAACATATGTCATGAAGACAGGTGATGGCATAAAAATCATGCTCAGGTTCCGGATGCTGAGGCCCAGGTTAAAGGACAGGAATGAAATTGGTGACTACTCCCATCAGTCCTTTCCCATAGGCCTGTGTACAGACCCTCATTCACCCAGCAGTGTTTCCCCTCTGGGGAATCCTGTTAAGTCCAGTTGCTCTTCATTAGGGGAGCATGAGTCATCCCAAAGAAGGCTCTTTTGGCAAAATCTAAGTATGTCCAGATGGCCAGCATCAGCACACTGCTCATTTCCATCTATTCTCTTATGCATTTCAGTTTACGATGATTCAGACTTGGTTCCTCAATCATTTCACCTTCAGGTACGTGGCAATATCAGTGTATGTACCCAGGGTCGTTTTGATATCATCCTTCAAACATTAGAAAGCAAGACCTTCTAGGATTCCAATGAAATCTAAGCCATAAAACCTGGGTTCTCCCTTTCTTTTTGGAATCCAATCTGACTAAGACCCTGATAAAAGGATGGCAATTAAAGATGCCTTGACTTTATAATTACAATTAGTAGATATTGGGTAACTGAGCTGTGAATTTTCGAACAGGTGGGATCAAGAAATGGATCAGGTCTTTCAGTCCATTTTAATTACACAGCATATTGATAGGTGAATGTATTTTTCAAATACATTCCACATTTATTGTTACTACACTGGCAATCATTTTATTTTCTCACTGTGCCAGGAATTATTCATGCTCCAGTCTTGCATAGATGTTTCTCAGGATTTTCCAGTCTGCAAGCACAAGAGTGTGGGGAGATCACTAGGTTAACTTTCTGAGGGTCTAAGCAGATATACACAGTCACAGTGTTCTAGTGGACCAATGTACACATCAGTAAGTTAAACTCAGATACCATTTCTTTTTGTTAAGATTAGTGAACCAGTGCTGATATGCAGGCAACAGGCCACATGAGGCTATACGACAATGTGCAACTGGACAGGCCTTCCACTCTTAGCATATATGCACAGGTCAGAATTATTGGATACACACTCACCACATATAAGTGCCATGAACTTTCAAAACACATGAATGCCATCCCAAGATGTAAAGCCTCCATCCTTCCTGTGTTAAGGTAGTTTAAGAGAACTGGTGAAGGCATCCCACGCTTGTGGTGCTTGGGCACATGAGAAACTTGAGGTTATGCATCCTACAATGGTGAGTACCTAGTGATGTCACAGGGAAATATGATAGCTGAGTGCTGAGCAGTTGAGATGTCTTGAACCTAGTGAGACACAGTGAATGATCAGATGGTAAAATGTATTCACCAGACCTATAATATGCCCTTCCCATGGCCCTTCAGTACAAATATTGAATGCTGGCAGTGAGGATGAGGATGAAACCAGTGATGGGTTAATCAAAAGATAACGGTACTTGCAATTTATCTTTATCTACGCCGAAGCACTGATTATCAGTGCACAGAATCATCACATTGTAGATATTGGGAATTCCAAACCTGAGCAATGCGATTGTGCTGACACTGACTTGTAAATTTGGATCCATGAATTTTCTTCACTGAGTTTACTGATTCTGGTTGATTCCCTATGGACTCTAAGGCCCGCTGACCATTTGTGTGAAGATTGCTGAGACATACCTTCTGAATGGATGGTCTTTGTCATCCTGGTAATTAGCACTGTTTGTGTCCCACTAGAATGTATAGCTATGCCTTCTGAGGACACAGGTCTATGATGACAAACCTACGTCCTGAAGAGAGGTGATGACATAAAAATCATTCTCAGGTTCCGGCTGCTGAGTCCCAGGATAAAGGACAGGGGAGAAATGGGGGATTAGTCCCATCAGGCCTTTCCTATAAGCCAGTGTACAGGCCCTCATTCACCCAGCGTGTTACAATTCTGGGGAATCCTGTTAAGTTCTGTTGCTCTTCTTTAGGGGAGAATGAGTCCTCCCAAGGAAGGCTCTTTTGGCAAAATCTAAGTATGTCCATATGGCTGGCATCAGCACACTGCTCATTTCTATCTATCCTCATGCATTTCAGTGAATGAGGATGCAGCCTTGGTGCATCAATCACTTCCCTTTTCAGGTACGTGGCAATATTAGTGTATGTACCTAGGTCTCGGTTTGATATCCTCCTTCAAACATTACAAAGCAAGACCTTGTCAGATTCCAATGAAATCTAAGCCATAAAACTTGGGTTAACCCTTCCTTTTTGCAATCCAATCTGACTAAGACCATGGTAAAAGGATGGTAATTAAAGATGCCTTGAATTCATAATTATTATTAGGAAATGTTGGATAACTGAGCTGTGAATTTTCGAATAGGTTGGATCAAGAAATTGATCAGGACTTTCAATCCATTTTAATTACACAGCATATTGATAGGTGAATGTATTTTTCAAATACCTTTCGTATTGATTGTTACTCACTTTGCAAGAGGTTTATGTTCTCACTATGCCAGGAATTATTCATGCTCCAATCTTGCATAGATGTTGCTCGGGAATGTCCAGTCTGGATTCCGAGGATTGCATTGAAATCACTAGGTTGCATTTCTGAGGGTCAAAAGGGAGACACACACTCACAGTGTTCTAGTGAACTAATGTACACATCAGTAAGTTAAACTCAGATACCATTTCTTTTGGTTAGGGTTAGTGGACTTGTCCTGATATGCAGGCAACAGGCTCATGAGGCAATACGAAAATGTGCAACTGGACAGGCCTTCCCCTCTTGGCATATATGCACAGTCTCAGCATTATTGGATACCCACTAACCACATATAAGTAGCATGAAATTTCAAACACATGAATGTCCTCCCAAGCTATAAAGCCTCCATCCTTCCTGTGATAAGGTAGTTTAAGAGAACTGGTGAAGGCATCCCATGCTTTTGGTGCTTGGGCACTTAAGAAACTTGAAGTTTTATATCCTACAATGGTAAGTACCTAGTGATGTCAGAGGGAAATAGGAAAGCTCAGTGCAGAGCAGGTGAGATGTGTTGAACCTAGGGAGACACAGTGAATGATCAGATGGTAAAATGTTTTCACCAGGCCAATAATATGCCCTTCCCATGGTCTCTCAGCTCAAGCATTGAATGCTGCCAATGAGGATGTGGATGAAACCAGTGATGGGTTAATCTTGACTACCTGTGGTAAAAGATAACTGCAATTGCAATTTATCACTATCTAACCCGAAGCACTGATTATCAATTCACACAATCATCACAATATAGATATTGGAAATTCCAAACCTGAGCAATGAGATTGTGCTGACACTGACCTGTGAATTTGGAACAATAAAATTTTCTTCACTGTGACAACTGATTCTGCTTGATACACTCAGGAGTCTAATTCCCGCTGACCATTTGTGCTAAGCCTGCCGAGACCTACCTTCTGAATAGATGGTCTTTTGTCATCCTTGTAAGGAGCCCTGAATGTGTGCCAATACCAGGTATAGCTATGCCTTCTGAGGAAACGGGTCAATAATGACATATCTACGTCATGAAGAGAGGTGATGACAAAAATATCATGCTCTGGTTCCAGCTGCTGAGGCCAGGGTTAAAGGACAGGGGATAAATGAGGGACTAATGCAATCTGGCCTTTCCCATTAGCCGGTGCAAAGGCCTCATTCACCCAGCAATGTTTCCCTTCTGGGGAATCCTGTAAAGTCCATGTGCTCTTCTCTAGGGGAGCATGAGTCCTGCCAAGGAAGTCACTTTTTTGGCAAAATCTAAGTATGTCCAGCCTGCATGCCTCAGCACACTTCTAATTTCCATCTATTCTCTTCTGCATTTCAGTGAACGATAATGCAGTCTTAGTTACTCAATCATTTCACCCACAAGTGCGAGTAAATATCAGCTTAAGTACCTAGCTCTCCTTTGGATATCCTCCTTTAAACATTAGAAAAGAAGACCTTATAATCCCATGAAATCAAAGCCATAAACCTTGGGTTTTCCCTTCCAATTTTGAATTCAATCAGACTAAGACAAAGATAAAAGGATGGTACTTAAAGATGTCTTGACTTTTAGAATACCAATTAGTAGACATTGGTTAACTGAGTTGTGATTTCCCAACAGGTGGGATCAAGAGGTTGATCAGGACATTCAGTCCATTGTAATTACACAGAACATGGATAGGAGAATGTATTTTATAAATACATTCAATAGTGATTGTTACTGCCTTAGCAAGAGCTTTATGTTCTCACTGTGCCACGAAGTATTCATAGTCCAGTCTTACATAGATGTTGCTCAGCAGTGTCCAGTCTACAGGCCCAGGAGTGCTGTGAGATCACTATGTTACCTTTCTGAGAGTCAAAATGGAGACAGAGACTCACAGTGTTCTAGTGGACTAAGGTAAACATCAGTAAGTTAAACCAGATACCATTTTTTGGAAGGATAACTGAATTTGTCCTGATATGCAGGCAACAGATCATATGAGGCATTTCCACAATGTGCAACTAGACATGCATAACCCTCTTGGCATAGATGCACAGGCTCAGCATTATGTGGATACCCACTCACCACACATAAGTGGCATAAAATTTAAAACACATGATGTCATCCCAAGCTATAAAGGCCTCCATCCTTCCTGTGACAAGGCAGTGTAAGAGAACAGGTGAAGTGATCCTATGCATGTGGTGCTTTGGCAGTAAAGAAACTTGAGGTTATGCATCCTACAAAGGTGAATCCTCACTGATGTCAGAGTGAAATAGGATAGCTCTGTGTAGAGCAGATGAGATATCTTGAACCTAGTGAGACACAGTGAATGATCAGATGGTAAATATTTTAAACATGCCTTAATGTGCCCTTCCCATGATCTGTCTACTCATGCATTGAATGCTGGCAGTGACAATGATTAGGAAATCAGTGATTTTTTAATCTTGGTTAGGTGTGGCAAAAGGTAACTGCATTTGCAATTTATCATTATGTACCCCTAAGCACTGATTATAAATGCACACAATCATCACAATGTAGATATTGGGCATACCAATCCTGAGCATTGCGATTGTGATGACACTGACTTACAAATTTGGAACCATAAAATTTTCTTCACTCCTCAGACTCCAGATCTTCTCTCCCACTA